GATTTTTTTTGTTAAGCTGAACGGTTATATAATGATTTACAGGAAGCCACCTTTGGTCTTAATCGGTGCTTGATTAACCATGTCTGGAAAATAAATACAATGTTGCACATGACAAGCAGACTTATCCAGCGAACATTCAGACTACGATCGACTGTCACACAAGTGGTGAGAAAGAATGCTCTTTCATATAAGAGGTTTAAAGACATTTTGCGTTAGCCTGTTGCTTTGTTTACATAGGTATTGCTAATTTATGCTTGCACGGGCTAACTTTCTCACAGGTTATGGAGAAACCATGCATATTAGCTACCACACTTGGAGCACCCGGAGGCATCTACAAGTGCTTTGCACCTTGTATCGAGAAACACTTCACTATAATCCCATATGAGAGGTTTGTACAGAGGAAAGAAGACTTCGCTGACAAAATCCAGGCAGTGTTTGTTTGGGGTGCCGGAGCTTTAAAAGTTGACCAAAACCTGCTACAGTCTTTGCCCAACCTCAAAGCTGTTGTTAATGGTGGGGTAGGAGTAGACCACCTTGATATTCCCCTGATTAATAGCTTTGGAGTCAACGTTTCCAACACTCCTCAAGTAGTGGATAATGCCACTGCAGATATTGGTGTGAGTTTGATGTTGGCATCTGCAAGGAAGATTGTTGAAGGTGAGAGATGCAGTTTCCTTTCTATATTACTTCCTGGTTTATCATATTGTTGTCTGAATCCATTGTGAATTTCTTTTTCTCTGCAGGGCACATTTTTTCCAAGTTCCGAGATTCTGATGATTTTCCAGAGTCCTCTCTGGGCACTGATGTTACCGGAGCCACCCTGGGCATCATCGGCATGGGTAGAATAGGATACAAAATAGCCAAGAGAACTCAAGGGTTTGAGATGAAAATCCTTTACCACAATAGGAATCGGAGGTGAATCTGTTGAACTTTGATTGAAATATTCACACGGTCACTAAACAGCTTCTTACCAGCTTGAGTAATACATAAACTATCAGTTTTCTGTATATATTTTCTACAAGAAGTAGTTAGACATTGCTTTAAAATATTAAGAAAGTCACTGATATACACTAGTCAGGTCAGTCAGTTTCTTTTTTTTT